CCCCGATTCAGCCACTGCTGAAACTGACCAGCGGCTGACTCCAGGAAGCCCGGGGCAGAGTTGCTCTGCCCCGGGCTTCCTGGAATCAGCCGCTGATCAGTTTCAGCAGCTGCTGACTTGGGGACGCCTGAGTTTCTTAAGTTGAATCTGTATGTAAGTCAGAACTGGCATCCAGATTCAGCCGCGGTTGAAACTGATCAGTTTCAGCAGCGGCTGACGCCAGTTCCGACTTGCATACAGATTCAACTTAGGGACTGTAGGTTTGTACTTATCTTGTACGTAACCCGGGGACTGCCTGTATAATATTTTGATAGGTGACACTAGGATTTTTTTCACAAGGAAGAAAAAATGGAGACATGAAAGAAAAGTATCACATGACGAGAGGAGATAAAAGTAAAAGAAAGAGGTAAAGATATGAAGGTAGTTAAAATGCACTTACCTTTAAATTTTGACCGAATGTTGGCTAGTTCTTTGTTTATTCTCTTTATCTCTGCTTCTTTGCTTTTGCCTGAAATTAAGAGAATTTACATCAAAGTTTGGCATTTAAACATTTAATTTGTCCAATTCTTTCAGCACAGACACTGGTAGTACCTTTCTTCCCCATAACACAATGTACACCAAGTGTAATACATTAGCACGTTCTGGAAAAATTGAAAGCCTTTAATTAAAAATACTAAAAAGGCTTACCAACCTGTACTCCCATGTTAACATGCCCAGAGAACAAAGTTTCAGAGCATCTGACAAATATCCAAAAGTTTATCAAAGTGTCTGATTTTTAAAACAACAACATAGGGAGGGAAAAATCATGCATGGCATAATTTGCAAAGAAAGACACCACTGCTTTCTAAGAGTTGACCTATAATTTATTTGCATATTGCTTTCCATGTGTGTGATGTTTTACAAAAAGAGATACGAGACAAGATATGTAAGGAACATAGTAAAAAAAACCAAATCTGAGCATGAACTTCCAAATATATGTAGTGACTAAATACAACTTATAACTGATTTTTTAATTTCAGTCAAGAGTTTGATATTGCCCTCTGAACTCTTCCTGAGCAATTCAGTTATCAAGTAATTGTGGTCTCAAAATCTTCTACCATTATACCAAAGTCCTTAAAAATAAACCATTTAAAAAAAAAACTTAAAATTCTTGATATTAAAGAGGCCTTTAATGATCAGTACACCTGTGCACCCTCTCGCTAAACTTGCATATTTTTATAAAATTGGTTTTTTAAATAAAATATTTATAGCAAAAACAAACAAACTGAAAAAAGCTTTAAAGTTCTTTCTAGTCTAGTGCCATTGTAAGTTCATGAGTTTGCTCTGCTATTACAGGAGTTCGCAGAACAGAAAATATTGTGCCTCAATCTACTCACTTAGTATACATCTACACTACAGAGAACAATCAAGCTGCTGCTCTTGATCTTCCAGGGTTCAAATTAGTGGGTCTAGTTAAGACAGCTAATTCCAATTTCCCTTACTCCTCATGGAAGCAGGATTTCTGGCACTGACTAAAGGGAGAGTGTTCTCACTTGGACTTCCTGCAGTGTGAACAGCACGGAAAGTCGAGCTAAGGTACTTCAACTTCAGCTACACAATTAACGTAGCTGAAGTTGCATATCTTAACTTGATCATGTCCTGTAATATAGGCATATCCTTAGTGAGAATAGGAACAAAGAACTTAAAGGGGCATGTGCATGTTGATGAATACACTACTTGCCTGCAAAAACAGCAAGGCATGGCCGTGGGAGGACTTGAATTTCTAGAAAGCTACTCTAACAGCTGTTAAGCAGTATTTAGATTTCACTGTGTACAGCTTTTTTTAAAAGCAAACTGTAAATCCAATATTTTCTCATTCGAGGATGAAAAAAATACACAGACATTCAGAGAAATGGTCTGTGTTTTGACATTTAGGTGATTGTTTGTGAATATTTTTGTTTGGGGAATGCAAATGTATCAATCAGCTTTACACAACAATCAGTTTACTGTTTGATGTTGGTGTTTCAGGAATATTAAACAAGTATATGGAATTATAACAGTGTTCACTAGAGATGTAAGTGACTAGTTTAATAGTTGACTACCCGATAACTACCTGCGAAACCTAGGCTTAAGTCACTACTAGACTAGTCACTTCTCTTCCCTCTTCCCCCGCAGAGGTGTAGTGAGGGTGTTATGCGCCCAGGGGCAAAGGAAAAATTTGTGCCCTCCTCCCTCCCCCAGCCACTATGTGGCACGTCCCAAACCTGGTGCACAGCTGAGGGGAACTTGTACCGCAACTTCCCCCACCCCCTACAGTTTGGGGCCGGGCTCCCGCATGCACTAACCATCCAGTGGAGATGGAGGAGGATCGGGATTGGAGCAGGGTCGGGCTCGGAGCAGAGAGGAGGCTCCAGCTGCCGGTGGCAGGCGGACTAGGAGCACGTGAGCTCAAGGGATAATGGGGGGAGCAGAATGGGATTAAATTGGAGCCTCCCTAGCATGGTGCCCAGGGGCAACTGACCCCTCCTGCAGATCTATCATTTTATGCATGTGCACGATTTATGAGAGCTGACCCATGAATCTGCAGTTACTTGTCTGTGGCGCCAGCTTCTGGGTGGTGACTCAATGCTGTGACATTCACCTCCAACGAGCAGGCTTCCCAAAGCAGGTCCTTACTGCTGACCCCCAAAGCTTCCCAAGGCTCATTGATCTTGGATCTGGCTTCCATCCCCTCTCCAACCTTTGCAACTGAGCAGAGGTGCTCACCTTCGGTCTTAAACATTCCCATCTCGTTCACCCCACAGGGTGAGTCTCTGCCTCACTTGTCCTAGGGACTATTGTACCAAGACGTAATACAAAGTTTCCATGTAAAAGGACTCAATACAAAGCTAAAAACTTCAATGAGAGAATGATTAATACAGAGACGTGTCTACAGTTGCTGCAGGGAGACACCTCTGCCTGCCTCCACCCCCCTTCCCCCAGAGTCTACAGCCCCATTGCAAAGCGGAGAAGGGAAATAAGAGGCTGAGGCTCACCCAATGGGAACCAGTGGAGCAGACACGAGCAAGCCATGCCCGGGAGCCATTCTCCTGTCCATTGTTGGTGCTGTGTTGCTTCAGCCATGCTGAAATGCAGTCGCCTCTAGGGTGGGCTGGACAGCTGTTTAACACCTGCACAAGGTTTCAGGCAGAGGGGAGTGCGGGTTGCCTTCCTGCAGAGTCCCCCCCCTCTCTCCCATCAGAACTACTGTGCCCTCCTGGCTTAGGAAAAGAACAAACAGGGGGATTGGAAATTAACCCGCCCAGTCTCACATCCCCTAGGCAGGGAATGAGCCATCTACATTAGGCCCCAGCTGGAGTATCATGTCCAATCCTGGGCGCCACATTCCAGGAAACGTGGAGAAACTGGAGAAAGTCCAGAGAAGATCAACACAAATGATGAAAGGTCTAGAGAACATGAGATATGAGGCAAGGCTGAAGGAATTGGCCTTGTTTACCTTGGAAAAGAGAAGACTGAAAAGGAACATGAGAGCATCTTTCAAGTATCTAAAAGAGTATCATAAGGACGAGAAAGAAAAATTGTTCTCCTTGTCCTCTAAGGTTAGGATGAGAAGCAATGACTTAAATTGCAGCAAGGGAGGTTTAGGTTGGACATTAGGAAAAACTTCCTGCCTGTCAGGATGGTTAAACACTGAAATAAATTGCCAAGGGAGATTGTGGAATCTCCATCACTGGAGATATTTAAGAGCAGGTTAGACAAACACCTGTCAGGGATGAGCTCGGGCAACTCAACTTTAGACACCCCAAGGGCCACACTGATACTTACAGAAAATGCTGAGGGCCTCAACTTAAGTGTGGTTGCATATGCAAGCAAATATATACAAATAGCTTCTCTCATACTGACAGGCATGAATACAAAGATTAAGGCAAGACTACGCAACATACAGACCCCATTTAAGTCAGCTCCGCTAATATTAATAAAATGCAACATTTCCCCGATTTCTACCCATGTCACGCTCGCACATGGCAGTGTGGAAGTGTTCTTGCACAAGAATCCTTGCGCAAGATGTTTTTGCACAAGAAGCCGACAGTGTAGACATAGCCTAAGAGTTTCCTCCCATGAGCAGAATGGATTTTGTGTTGTGCACCTGTACTGAGTTCGTGTGGGTTGTCTGGATGTGCCACTGTGGCACCCAAGTTATTAATACATATTTTATAAACCTTTCCCTTTTCTCTCTCCTGCCATGTCTCCTCCCCTTGCTCCATCAGCTCCCCAGTGCCTGCTGCCCCCTAACCCCTCACCCTCCTCTGCTGTTCTGACTCCTGCCCTTCTCACTGCCCTCAGCCCTTCTGTGACCTGTCCCGCTTCACCAGCTCTTCTCTCCCTCTTGTACCCACTGCTCCAGTAGCCCCACTCTGATCAGGTGAGCTACCCCTCCTCATCCCCTCTCCTAACACCTCCCTTTACACATGCCCTGCCTTTCTCCTCTGGAGCTGCTCCCTCCCCAGCAGGTGTCTGCCCTTCTGCTTCACCCCCAGAATCACCTGGCACCTGCACCTTCCCTTAGTCCTGCACTCTCCTGGTGCCTCCCCCTTCCCTCACTGCCCACGCCCCCTTTTTTCCTGATGCCCCCCCACCACCACTCTCTGCCTCCATTCCCCTCATGCCCCTCTGTGCCCTCAGACATGACTTGTTCCATCCCCACCTTCCTCGTGCCCACCTCTTTCTTCAAGCCTTCTCCCAGGACCTCCCCCTCCAGCTCCCAATGCCCTTCCCCTCTCCTCGAACAGCATCACCCTGTCCCTCCTCCCCCGACACATCCCCTCCTGCCCTTTTCCTCATTGTCTGCACTTGTCCCCCTGGCATTTGTATCTTTCCTCCCCCCTCCCCACAAGCTCGTCCTCCTTGCCCCTAGATTTCCCCCTGCTCTGCTGTACCTTCTGCCTTCCACTTTCCGGGGCCGGAGTCCGAACTGGAAGCTAGGCAATGCGGCACCAAATACTTTTAAAGTCCTGGGCACCGAATACTTTTAAAGTCACATCACGCCTGGGCATCTCCCCGGTCAGCTGGGAACGCTGCGTGCGCAGGCAAGGGGAGCTAACTGAACGCTGCACATGACAGAAACGATCCAGGGCCAAGGGGGAAGGGGGAGAAGGAGAATGGTCGGCCATATAACTCGCTGCCCATGGCAGGCGAGCCTGAGCAGTATG